AGAAAGCTTTAATCTTCCGCCTCTCGTGACCGTCTCCCATTCTGACAAGAGGCAGTGCTCTTTAGCCTAATCAAGCACATTCATTAAAAACTAATGATTGGGAATTGTAGATTGTGTGCAGGATAGCTAGACAAGGATAGCTTCACACATTGCAAATGCCCCATTGTAATCCTGATCATAATTTACGAAATTTACAAAATGCTCCCAAAAATACTTGGAAAAGAAATTATGTCTTTTGCTTTGTAATGTAATAGAGGGGCAGCGGGTATGCAAGAATGTGTGTAACAGGACACGGCATTGAATTTCAGATAATGCCCCTCCCCCGCACATGAAATGGTACAGTCCGCCTGTGGTGACCGCCTATTGTGACCCGCCTGTGGTGACCTACTCCTCTACGCGAGACTTCCCCAGATGCGTTAGCATAGTACACCTGCGCCCCCTATGTATCTGGACTTGATTTGCAGACATGGCGATATACTAGTACATATTATGATCTTTGTCCTTAGATATGAGGTACTGTTGTCAACCGCTAGGCGGAGCTGCCCGACAACATGTACCTCTGAGTTTGTTCATAAATCATATCGGAATCCCAATCCATAAAGCTCATATGTTTTTATTCATCCATCTAATATTGAGATTTGCCACATTTGTGGAAAGATTGACATAACAAGTGACTATCACCTTTTCAAGATGCCAACCCTGAGACTAGACTGTGAGGTTTGAACCACTCACACCGGGACGGACCCCAATTTTTTTCTATCAGTATGTTTGGTTCTTAAACGGCTTTAGTTGTGACTCTCCTCAAACAAGGTACCCCCTGCTCTACCCCCATCCAAGAGGACGTCCCAAACTAAAGCTAGGTACTCATTTTTACATTCGCCGATTGAGAAAATAAGTGTAAAATGCCTTTTACCAAAGGTACAACAGTAAGGCCTGCTAGGGATTCCGGAACCCAAAACCTTCAGATTCCAATTTATGTTCTTCAAAGAAGTTCCTTTTTGCTTTTGTCCATGTTCCTGCCAAATTAGTTTAGTGCATCGTGAACAGGTAATATACTGTAAGAGATAGTCACTTAGGGCGATTCGTTTCTTGTGTAAAAATACATCAAAAAGAACCTTAGCTATAGGCTATCTTCTTTGTGTTTCTCTTTTCCTAATGAACAGAGACGGTCTGTAAAAAGTATGAAAGGAGTCACTTGTAAGAAAACGTGGTGCTTCATGCTGCTTCGTCTTCAAAGCCTTGCCGCAAAGTTAACTGAGCTAAGATGTGATCAAGACAAGGAGTTCTTTTTACACCTCCTTGATCAAGCATAGCTGTGTATTTTCATCTATAGCCTCCACCTGGCCTTCCTACGGAGGTACGGCTCAGAAAAAAGGAATAAAGAACAAAATGAATCGAAACGGAGGTATCAGTTGACAACAATGACAACAAACAGTTGACAACAATGACAACAAATAATGTTTAGCGTTAAATGTTCAAGGGTTAGGTGTAACAAGTCCTTCCGTGTAATGTAGCCAGCTGCCGCCGCGCCGCGTGCCTGCATATGCGAAGCTGGTATGTTACGCCGAAGGGCGGTTACTGACCGATAGATACAGATACAGACAGATACAGAGCTAGAGTTCCACGATCACGTACCTTCGCCAAATGATGTTATCTTTATGATTGAAAAAATCATATATTATTCAGAAAAAGCCAGTGGGGGCCCAAACGTATGTCACTTCTTTCACAAGAACTACCTATCATCCAAATTTCGTCACCCTAGCATGTTTAGATCATGATATATCAAATCCGGAAGTTCAGCTGCAGTACCATAGGATGCCGCTAGGGGGCTCAAAATCTAATCATTTCCAGGTCTCGAACGCTTGTTCGGCGTCTCATCAAGACCTACCCACCTACCAAATATCAAGTCAATCTTGTTAAGCCTTCTAAGTTATCGTGTTGACAGACACACACACACACACACACACACACACACACACACACACACACACACACACACACACACACACACACACACACACACACACACACACACACACACACACACACACACACACACACGAACGCCTCTGAAAACATAACCTTCTTGGCGAAGGTAACAATCCAGCGTGGGTGATCGACGTGTTTCGGACTGCGTCAAGCCCCTATATATACCTGTATGCATAATGGCTGTAGGCATTTCGGCTTCTATAGTCAAAGAAATTAAGGCGTTATAATTACATATAAAGGTTTTACGCCATTCGAAAGACTTTTATCGCCCACGCTGGTTTAATTTTGTTACGTTTTGACGTTCAGAAAGACATCTCCTGGTCAGACTAGACGGATTTCTTTACTTGTTAAAGCCACATAGAGCTATTTCAAGTTAGTTTTCATGTCATTTTAATGTAGTAAGTTGAAACAACTCTATCTCATAGCATACTGATATCTGTGAAGCAAAATTGCGTTGTCGCTAACGGAAAACGGTTGCGTGTTACGAATCGTACGTTGGTCCTAATCATTTATTGGTGGTACCAAAAAATAAAGAGACACCTCACGCAGATTATGTTTTTTGGATATTTCGAATGCTTCAAGTATGAAATGATGGCATAATTGTGTTAAGGAATGGCAGTAAATGTCAATATCAAACAGATTTCCTAATCCAGAATATTTTTGTTTTGTCGTCCTGAAATTGCATTGGACGGTTTGAATAACAAATTCCTCATATTCCTTTACTTTTGGGTTGAAAGACCACAACCGCTTATTACATGGATGTGTTTTTTTGTCACAAACAACATGTATATTATAATAATTCTGTCAGTCACCATAATATAGGTCGCAAATCTGGTAATGTCGTAGGTCGTCGTGCGACTTTATTTTGTTGTCGTGCGATTGATTTTCAAGCAGGCTGTGACAGACACAACTACCGAGAAGTATCTACGTGCAGGACAGTCTTTTCTGTCACAAGACAACCGAATTTTACAAGACACATTCACCACTATCCCGACCTACGAATGCCCTCAGTTTGCGATCGTACGGCGGTCGTATGGCGATCGTACGACGGATGCGACCAGGTCCTATCCTTATATTATAAGAAGCCTGCGTCGTGATATGACAATCACAATAGAAGTAATAACAGGCCCACATGCACTTATAATTACTTACAACGGAAATGCATAGAATGGTAGATACAATGGAACCAGAAACTAGTTACTATATATACTAGTATACTACATCAGGATCTAGTAGCTAGCTTTGTTGGCTTCGACTTCAACATTCCACCTCTGTGTAAACTATTGATAAAACGTAAAATATAAATAGTTTACACAGAAGTGGAATATTGTAGTCGAAGCCAACAAAGCTAGCTTTGTGTAACTGGATCCTGATGTAGTATATATAGTTACTAGTTACCGGTGCCATTGTATCTACCGTTTAATCATTTCCGTTATTGTTAGGCCTTCGGTATGAATACGCAATGGAAAGTTATTTAAACCACAATGCTTTTGATAAGCGGCGCCTCTAACATGACATGAGTCCGAACTCTCCTCTCATATAGAAAAGATAGCAAAAAGGACACTATATCTAAAAATGATGTTGTAAGGTGTTGTGTAGTCCTCTGTTAACGTTAGCCTCTACCAGGCTTCGGGAGGTTGCTGGAAAGAGTACAAATTGGCCAAATAGAGAGATAACATGCCAGGGGAGTTGGTCCGCCCAAGGAGTACAGTTTCTGTATCTGTATCGGTATAGCCGGTATAACCGCCCTTCGGCGTAACACAACAGCTTCGCAGGCACGCGGCGCGGCGGCAGCTAGCTATATCACACCGAACGACTTGTTACAGTCAATCTTTGCTGATTCTATCTATTGCAGGAATTGTTTAAAGCTTTCTAGCAATGATGCCCCAACTGTGCTTGGTGGCAAGGAGTTCCAGTCTACGATAGTTCTGGGGAAATACGAGTTTTTGAACACCTTAATTCTTGGTTAACTTTGATATTTGAAGGCATAATTCTGATATTTAAAGTTGGCCAATTTTTACTCTTAAAAGCCTTTTCCCGAAGCCTGGTGGAGGCTAGTCCTGTGTGAAAGAGTTTGCAATACGAGTTTAAACTATCTTCTCATAATCCGTACCCCAGCTGTTGCCGCTACTAAACTAATTGGTACCTTTGCTTCATTTCTCTTCACCCTTTATTGTGATGTGACCCGAAACGTCAATCAAATGTTAACAAGGCTTCTCAGATTAACGGTGTTATATAAAACGGAGTGATATAGTTTATTTATAGCATCTAATTATGATCAGATATATTTTGGCGGGTCGCTGCTACATGACTGAATTTGTAAAAAATCATACATGTACAAGAAATATAGGAAGGCATAGCATCGAAAGGTTTCACAATTACTACTAGTATTCGATGATTTAAAGTAGACAGAGAGGCAGGAATTTATAAAGTAAGTTCTTATTTTTGGAATAAAGCCTAAGTAGAAATTCCACAAAGTACCTCTTAAAATCTGACTGATGCAGGTAAAACTTGTCTGCTACAGGTAATTTTCAATGTAAAAAAAAACGCGTGCAGAAAAGAAAAAAGGATTTCGAGCCCTGTAAACGTTTGCCGACAAAATCATATTTGCATGGTATTCAATGTATATATAAAACGACAGGATATTGTATATTTATGACATGTAATCATGTTGTATAGACTAATTAGACGGTGTGATCCGACCGGCGGCACGGAGGTGGGGTGAACGCGGGGAGAAAGAGCTTTGGGCCCGGTTAGTTGACAGAAGCCGCGCGGTGCACACGCAGGCTCTCCCCGTCGAGTTTCAAGAAAATCCGGGTGCTATATGAAGCAGTAGCCTATAACAGGCTTCAGAGGTGGCTGGAAAGAGTAGAAATTACCCAAATAGACAGATAACATGCAGGGGAGTTAGTCCGCTAAAGATGTACATTTCAGAGCGGCAAACTGTACTCCTTTTGCGGACCAACTCTCCTGGCATGTTATCTGTCCATTTGGCCAATACCTGCTACTTACTAGTATATCGCAGTATGCCAAAATCCGTTCCAAAGGGCTAGAAGAAAATGTGAAGGAATGAAAATGAAGAGTCTATTATTCACCATGCCAATATATTATTACTCTGTGTTTTTAGTCATTTGTTCAACCTTCATGACCACGTAGATTTCAGAATGAAGGCAACTTTTGCCAAACTTTTATTTGCACGCTCGCATCAGCGGTTCCCAGAGGATGTCATCCATATAATCAAATCAACATGGCCTTATCTATCCCTAGTGGTCTGTCTGAGAAAACCTGGTCGTCTGAAACTATACCCCAAACATCTGCTTGTATCATTGCAGATTCACCCCTTCCATCCGGAACGACTCAATTACTTTTAATTAGAGTCATTAGACCATATCTTCAATCATTGTCCCAGTTTAACGCAAAATGACCGAAAGGGCGATTTCTCTGACCCTGAATTGTCTGCGAGATAGTCGCGTGTTTTCGAACACTACATTACATTACTGTACATTAAATTTCTACCCATGCTTCCTTATAAAAAAATTAAAAAACTCACTTAAAATTCCAGTCCGTCTAACATTACCTACTTTGAATTATCAAATACTCGCTGTTATTGTTAAATCTAATAATAATATGATTTCGTGATTTCTTTTGTATTGTTGACCTCTTGACCTCTGAAAAGTGGCCGCAAGGTCGAATGTAAGTACTTCAAGGTCAAAAGAAGACAAAACAGCAACAGCTACCTCTACTGCTCTTTCATTTTGGTTAAAAAGTGCATTTATTTTTCTTCCGAATTCCTTCTTTAAACTTTCGAAATATTGCTGTGAAAAAAAGTAATCTTCATGACAAACTGTTGAATGGATAAAATATATAACTGCCATAAATTTATGATAATATATACCAACATTTGATTTCTGTATTGGATGATGATGGGCCCGTAAGATGACCCCAAACCAGGATCCAATTTTTGGCCTGGACATAAAATTTCAAGAGTGGCTTCGTTGTCATGACAACAGACGCCACGCCCGTGAAAACAAAAACCGCAACTGTCGTCTGCGACTGACAGGAAGTAGCCGACACCGAATACCTTCACACCGACGGTTAGATGGTTAATTCAAAACGCCTTCCTGCGCAGTTTTGAAATTAAAACCTTTTCATTTCCTCCACCACCCACCTGTTTCTCTATTATGGTAACCTAATGCTAAACAATGACGTAGGCAAACATTGAGCAGTAGCCAATGGTAGCCTTTCTTACAATGGAGAGGATAAGTTTGACCAATAAGATTAACCGTAACTGAACGCTAAGAAAGAGGAGAAATATGTATTAAACATAGCAGGCGATTCAGCTAAGGCGCTTTCGAGTAAGCTAACGTATTGAAATCATTTAGTATTTGTCGCATAAAACGTCTTTATCTGCCTTAAAACACAAGTATATATTTGAAAAATATTTTCTTACATTAAATGTAGGTATTTTGACCCAACTTTTTGTGATTTATTCGGTGGTATATTATATTTCCCCCCACAATCGGATGCTTTCATTTTCTCGAATGTTCCGATGAGCAAATAAGAGGCTATTAGTTACGATATCTGAGTATAGTTCAATTCTCCGCCGAGTGTAGAGGTGCACTTTGGTGACGATCTCCGCTCAAAATCCGACAGCTTTCAGGAGACAGCTTCGGCGTACTAGAACCACCTCAAAGTCAAGATTGTACTCATCCAATTTCGGAGGGGATGGGTAAGTGCTTTAACTCCATTTATTAACTAGAAAGCTCGTAAGGTTCGATCGTTCTTGAGTCCAAAACCTAGAGACAGAAAATCCCGGCTCTAGCGGATTTGAACCTTGGTACGAGTAGTCACGAGAATATAAAACGAGGAACGGCAAATATTTTAATTCTTAAAAGACACATAACGAGGAGCGTTTACTTCGGAATGTCGTAAACTCCAGAGTTTAGAACAAAAGAGGGTCGGTTATTTTTTTATGGTGAATTTTTCTGGTGCCGGGCGGAGAAAAAAACACTCCGACTCCCCGAAAACCAAGATGGCGGCCGTCGGCTGAGAAATTTTTCAAGACATCAGCTTAAATTCTGTCGCCAATAATCGGGTTAGGTATTAAAGCACATATTCCGAGGTCGCACGAATAGGTGGACGACAGTTTTATGTTTGCCGAAACGCTGTGAGGATAATGGTTACGATTTTAGATGTGTTTGTATTCGGGGAGAATTTATTGAGTCATATATGTTTACATACTAAGGTGTCTGAAGGATGGCTTTGAGAGGGGGAGGGGGGCTTTAGGTGGTTTACTTAAAAAGACAACAAGTGACCGAAAAAGTCAACCTTAAGAACGGTCATCTGTTCAAAAATCATAATTTCAAATCGATTTCTTGTTCCACATAGCCCAAAAATATAAAAAAAAAACTGGTATGATGATAGGGTACAACATTTGTAATATTTTTCTGTTGAAGTTTTTTTTTTTTACATAGAATTCAAACTTAGCAACATTTTCCTGGTCTTTCTCTACAAAACACAAGATTACGTTTACTATTGATTAGCTTAATTGTGTAATTAAATGAGTAGTTATCAAGCCAGAGTCATTTTACAGTGCAAAATTGTACACTGTTAATATACGTAATGTATTTAGGATTTGACTAACGCTTAACCACAGCATATATTTGAATTGTTTCTTACATGTCTTTCTTTCATCCTAATTTGAGATGATATATGCATTTGTGATCTACAGATTAATTTACTTAGGATTCCATAATTTTTACCAGAGTCAGTAATGTAAATTAATCAATACAATATAATATCATGTAACTCTGACAGGGCTTTAATTTTGTCAGGTCAATATATAAACCACTTGCAGACAATCAGTCAAAATTGATAGTATATATATCAGCTAAATTATATTTCATGCATTATACATATCCATATCAATATTTGCTTTAAATATCATATTTTATTGCCTCTAGCACCAAAATATCTACTGTTTCACCTGTAGCTGATATTTCAATCAAGTTTTTATCATTTTTTCCCTTTCAAATTTTCAAATTCAGAGCAAAAATGCCAATTTGCTTCACTGCTTTCTCTTTGGCAGCATATACGGTGATTTTGTTCTTTCCTAATAAGTACATATAGTTGAGCCAAATGCCAATTACTAAGGCTGTATGTTACATATGCCCTGGGCACCAGTGTTCCATGTTGCTTGATTGAATTTCCCTCCATTGTGGGTTGTGTTAGTTTTGCCTGAGGGTATTTTTACTTGCACAGTTGTACCGGTAACAAGTAATTATTTGTGTACTGTATCAGACGCATTGAGATATCTCTAAATATTATCAAGACTGACTGACGAAGAGAATCTCCCAATTGTTTGTTTCAATACAGATGCTAATTAACATTCAGTACACCAAGGTACTAGTACTAGTAGTAGTAGCTGTCTTAAAAGCTACCAATTTGCCAAAATACTGCAGGGCTTGAAATACCATCTTGCATATGCAGGTTAGTGCAGGTAAAATTGGAGCTGTGTAGGTATTTCTGATGTCTACCTGCACCTAACCTGCACTGGTCCATGTACTGGGTATATGCAGGTTAGTGCAGGTAAAATTGGAGCTGTGCAGGTATTTCTGATGTCTACCTGCACCTAACCTGCACTGGTCCATGTACTGGGTATAATTTTTGACAATTCACTTGAAAATTACGGAAAATATGTGTTATCTTTTGAAATTACAAATACATGTGTGAGCATTTTTCCTTTTTTCGCTGGTTTTGTATTCATCGCAGAATGCAGAGAATGACATTATATGTAGCCAGTATGTCTGTCGCTGTGTTTTCATAGACTAATTCTTAAAAAGATAATTCCAAGTATGGGAAATTGGGAATATTTTTGTACCTTATTTAATATTACTGTTACAATAACATTGAAACCACAGATTCTTTTAACGAAATGGTTTTTATTTGCTTTATTTATTTTTTTCTTATACATGTATCTAATAACTCTAGCTATAGCGTCCCCTTTTTTTAGGGCATTAATAAGATAAGAATGTAGTACATAAATTCATCTACTTTAAATTTCTTGATGGTTTTATTTTGGAAAAGTTTTTTTTACAGTATTTTAGATTCGCATTTGAAACATTTATTCTGTAGTACAGTAGTCATACATTCGAAACGCATATTTGCAGTGTCATGAATTCGCTAAGTGGAAAAAAAAAACACTGCAAAAGTTTCAAGAATTACGGTAATATTTCTCATTGTGAAATCTGTACCTCAGGTGTATGTGTTCCTAGGGGGTTTGGCTATCTATGTATGGTATTAGGTAAAGGGAAACTGAGTGCCTGTTGTGAGCTCTAATTATACTGTAGTTCAAACCACCTGGGTTTTTAGTCTGCACTGTTGCCAATTCCTCCTGGTGGCCAATTTCTGTGGTGATTGAAGGTAGCAGAACAACAGTATTCATCCTATGGGAATTTGTAATAGTTAAACTTAACCTTGCACATGCTAAGCTTGCTGTATACCAAATTTGTAATGATAGTTAGGGGTTAGGTAGTAGGGAGAAGGTTAAATATTCAAAGTTGACCCACATCGATGAAGTAATTTTTTAAATTAATTTTTTAGGGTGCACAAGAAAAAAAAGTTTTTTTTTTTTTTGCTTGTTAAAAAATGTATAATTGTAAGCTGGTTCTAGCTATTTATGGGCAGTACCCAAAAAATAAAGACACCTCACATAGCTTGTTTTTGGGCTACTTCAAATACTTCAATAATGACAAAAATGTGCAGAAATGGCAGTAAATGTCAATATCATTATGAAATAGGAGATAAATTTCCTCATTCAGAATATTTTTTTCGTTTTGCTGCCCTAAAATTCTACAAGTCCAGACCAGCTGGTTGTTATCATTCTAAGGTAACAGAGCTGTAGGTATAAATAGACATGTCATGCTTATGCTAACTAGCAACATGTGTCATGTCATGCTGTTCAAGCTCTATTTTTGGCTACAGAAACCTACTTTTAGGAGTCGGGTTGGAATTAGAGTTTTATACAAACCAGAAATATACTTTAAAAGGTACAAGTAAGTACACGGGGTTTAAAACAGGCCTGGACAGGTGGTCTTGTACATGTGGTTAGACTTAGAGTTGTTGACTTTGGGTTCGAATCCTTGGCAGACCCAACTGTTGTTTCCTTCAGCTTGGGAAAGGCACTCTAGGCCTATTTCTAAGGGGGTCCGCAAGCCCTTTTCCATAGAGCGTAATCGGCCGTTTTAATTCAACGTAGAGCGTAGACAGACCGCTCTTCGCATTTTGCGTAGAGCGTATTCGCCGTTCTAATTCTACGTAATGCGTTGTAGCCACTTGGAATTTATCGTAAAGCGTAATCGAGAGGTTTCCAAATTCAGCGTTGAGCGTTGTCGGGACCCCCCCCTTGCAGGCCCTCTTCTAACTCTACTCAGGTGAAAATGAGTACCTAGCTTTGGTTAGGGACATCCTCTTGTAAAGCCGGAGGTCCCGTGTTTGAGGAGAGCCACACCTCGAGCACGATAAAGTCTGCATCCATGCGCAATTTCTGGCCACCAAAGCTTGATTTTCAAAGTAAATTTTCTGGTTGTTCTTTTAATAGATATACATCCATTGTATTACTTACATGTAGCATACTTATATATTTATAATCTGTGAGGCAAAAATGCGATGTCGGAAAACAATTATTTGTATTGTAGGCTGGCTCTAGCTATTTATTGGTGGTACCCAAAAAATAAAGAGACGCCTCACATACAGCATTTTGGGGCTATTTCAAACTCTTTAAGTATGAAATGATGAAAATGTGCTAAGAATTGTCAGTATTACAATTGTTAGACAGATTCCCTCACCCAGAATATCTTTTGTTTTGCTGCGCTAAAATTGTATAAAGGAAAATTGCAATGCCTTTCCCTCTCTCCGCAAAACTTTTGCATTTCACAGTACTACTATATGTATAATCAAAGCCTGAAAGAGCTTACTCGGTGAAGTGTCAAGCTTCTAAACTTTAAAGTGTTTTTTTGTCAGAGGTCTTGTTCAGTGTTTATTTTGAGTTGAGCATCACGACTAAAATGCATTTGGTACATGTCCAAAAATGGTGCCATGAGGCCTGGGAAAGCTTGGAACAGCCATTGTTGAAAGCAGTATTGCTGATGGATTTACGTCTGCGCTTTTCCAGATTTGTTCTTGAACTTCAAGTAGTTGTGTGTGAAATGTAACTAAATTTCATGCGTTTCTCGATCAAAACATGCACAGAAACATCATGAGAAACATCGGGTTTAAAATTCTTGCATTTCTTGTGTAAAATATGTATTACAAGAAATCAAAGATTTCAGACTGTCAAGAATTTTTTTTGCCTTTTAACTTAATCCTTGTCCTGCAGAGCGCAACATTTGTCGTTCTGCACATACAGTACCATCTATATAGCACCCTGTATACATGTAGGTACATTGTATGGTTTGGGTGTATTTCTCGTGCAACGCATCACACCGCAGCGAAACGCAACGAATGCGGAAGTAACTATGCCACTGCAGGGCAAAAAAATATGGGGGTCTATGATCTAATTAAGACATGAAATTATTGAAAAATATTGTGCCAGGAATGTCAGCAGGACAAGGGTTAAGTTCACCCAATTTCCTGTGTCTGACCTTTTGACCACCTGTTGTTCTGCCTGTCAATCTTCCCTCCACCCACGTGTACGCAACATTTTTTTTCCTAGGCCTAGTCTTCACAAATGCCCCCCTCCCCACATTTCACAGTTACCCAGAGTTTGTACCCTTGGGGGTAGGTAATCCATTTCTGGCTGTCGATAGCTGTCAGGTGCTGTTTGCGATTGTTTATGGTTGCCATGGCAACGGTGACATGACAGTAACCTGGTCATACTCACCTGACTGGCTGGGTCAGTTGGGCCGTACCATTTTGCTCATTTTTGGGGGTGGTCAAATTAAAAAAAATGCTCCAAAAACTTCCAAAGTTACAAATGTAGTTGTTTGCTTTTGTTTCTAATATCATAAAAAACTTTGTTACTTTATTCATTCTATACTCTTTTATTATTTATTTCTTTCATATATATGATGATCCTTAAAATATGCTGATTCATGTTCATAATTTTCAAATTACTAGTATACTACAAAAAAAAAAAAGAAAATGTCATTTTCGATCTTTCTTTTTGACTTACATCCAAGAGGACGCCCCTGATTGAAGCTAAGGCATCTCTTTTCGCCTGAGTCGAGTAAAGAAATAGGATCGGATATAAAGCACCATTCCCTATCTCATAACATAGGAGCCTGTCAGGGATTCGAACCCAGAACCTGTAGATCCTATATGCCAACGCCCTAACCTCAAGACCACCTTCCCACCATAATAAACACAGGAAAATAATGCTGGAATCAGCAAGTTTAATATTTGGTCCACACAGCCAACAGTGTATTAGTCATAGTCCATATCTGATAAATTATTAATATTTGTTACATGCCGAATCATCACCTTCCTTTGCTCTTATCTTTTCACTGGGATGACTTGATGGACATTTTGCACGCCAAGTTTATGACTGCAATGTCATTAGGTCATGGAATCAGGGATTGTTGCTTGTAGGGCTGTGTACCTCAATTCACAGGTCCGGATTCAAGTCCAGAGGTTTAGGTTCAGTTCCAGACTCGTAAGTCTGGACCTACATTTGTAAACCCATGGCATATACAAAATTGCATGTTGGCAACCTTGCAATGTTGTCTGGGCAAAACTGTGGCCACATAACATATGGAGGCAGACACTTGACGATGCCCGATGGCAATGTTTTCTTCATTTTGCAGCACAGATTTTGCAATCTACGGAAGGTTTTAGGTGTGTGGAATGAAAAGGGGTATGTGACATGGGTTTTGTTGTAATACTAATAAGTCCGGAATCGGTTCTTAACTTTTAGTTTTTTTTGGACTTGAACCTAAACATTTTTACAAGTCCAGAAGCACTGTCCATCGAACCAGTACACAGCACTAGTTGCTTGCTGCTTGACTTTTGAAATATGTAAAAATATAGCATCAGTATTTATGATGTACAAATTATGAGAAGCATGCAGGTGATTTTCAGTGTTACATGCACCAATGCAGGTATGCAGAAAAAAAGGATTTCATCACCTCAGTATAGTGATGCATACCGGTTCACTGGACTTGGATCCGGACTTGTAAAAATATTTAGGTTCAAGTCCAAAAAAACCTAAAAGTCAAAAACCGAGTCCGGACTTATTACCATAAAAGACCATTTCACATACTCCTTTTCTTTCCAAACCACCTAAAACCTTCCGTAGCTTGCAAAATCTTTGCTGCAAAATGATGAAAACATTGCCATCGATCATCGTCAAGTACCGGCCTCCGTGTTATGTGGCCAAAGTTTCACCCAGACAACATTGCAAGGTTGCCAACATGCAATTTTGTATATGCCATGGGTTTAGGTCCGGACTTACAAGTCCGGACCTGAACCTAAACCTCTGGACTTGAATCCGGACCTGAACCGAAAATTGGGTTTAGGTATGCATCACTACCTCAGTATAAGAATGTTGGATCAGTATTTTATGACTTACAAATTACTGAAAAAAGTATTTCAAGCGGTGACATATTTTGTTTACAAATATCGATTACCGTTATGTTTTCATAGATTGAAAGTAATAAAACATTTTAGCTATTATGCCATGGGACATATCTGGGTCATTTAAGATTGATTTATGAAGTAATATTGAATAATACAACTTTGTATGGACATGTAGAAAAAAAGATTACTCGAGATCTGCTTGAAAATTAATAATTGATATTAGCGTTTCAGTAACTGCGAAATAAGCAGAAAGTGATTTACAAAGAGTGCGTCATCCTAAATGGATTATCCGCATTTTGTCTTTAGCTACAAGATGTATTACTATGGTAACAGTGCACTTAAGCATAGAAAAAGATTTGCTCGTGCATGAAAAATTTGCGCATGAAAAATAAAAGTCTCTGATTCTGAAATATGTCAGAAAATATGCAGTACCAAATTCTTATGCAGTAAAATGTGATCCTGTGGTATAAATAAAAACTATAATTTTCCATCTGTAACTCAAAATTTTTGTTGAAAATTTTAAGTCCCTTGGAAACAGGTTAATTTGCATATTTTCCATGAAATGTAAACATTTGAAAATCACTTGAATTTGTAAGAAATACATGGAAAAGTTACCAGTAAAGGTTTAGGATGGTAAAATGTAACAATCTGAAGCTTTTCTCCATTCTACTAGAAGCTTGCTTTCATATTTGAGCAAACAAATTCTTTCACACGCAGATTTCAACCTTTGAACTTTTGAGGTTTGAACCTCAAAATTTCATTTGCGCATGAAAACTTAACTGAAAATCACTGAAATAGTGACAAAATAAGGCTATGTAGAATTGAGAATCGCCAATTCTTGGTAAAAAAAAACTTTGTAAAGTTACGTTTTCCCTCTGTTTGATCTTCATTCTAATGTCAAATTTTTCATTTTTTTAAAAGCTTTTTTGCATGGTTACACTTGTACTGGTTGTCGCCCAAAAGAAATACCCCTATGCTTTTTGAAAGACAGTGTATGGGGCTAAATCATAGCATATAGGGACCAAATCATAGCGTAGAGGGCTCTTATACTCAAACAGCGTAGTGAGAGCTATGGGAGTCTCTATCCTGACATAAATAATATTATTGACATGGTCATTATAATTAGCGCTCATATAAACTGACCTACATGTAAGTAAGTAACAAGGGAAATCAAATCTAGGACTCTACAGCAGAAAATTGGAAAAAAATCTGGAACAATCCTTCATAGCATCGATTACACAGTTACCCTGTCCAATTTAACAGCCAATTAAAGCAGAAAAGATTGACATGTGAATACACGGACAGGAAATGTTAGACCGATCTTTTGTTTAAAGTGATATTATGTAAGATTTTTGCACCAAAACAGTACTGTAAATATGAATAATCAAAATTTTCTCATCTAGATTGTTATTTTCAATAACTGTAACTAATGCAACATATTAGCATTGCCATCTCGCTTTTCTGGTGACTCAGCACAGCGCGAGAATAAGTTGCGCCAGGCTTGCTGTATTTTTAGGAGGCTCCTAAAAAGAATGTAAACAAACAGCAGTTTTTGTTTGGGTATCTTCGGCAGCTTTAACAAGTTTTTGCCCCAAATATCATTATGAACCCAGATAAAGTTACAGTGCAAGAAAATGTGTAAAACAACGATATTTGAAATAATAAAAAATCTTACATAATATTGCTTTAACATTATATGCCTGTAAAAACAGGGCTTATCAAAATATGAATATTAGTATCTCCGCCAAGAAGGTTAAATGTTTTTGGTGCCATTTGTTGAATTTGTCTGTAGGTAATAATGTTTTTATGTTTGTTTGTTTGTGTTTCCAGGCGCAGTCAGAGCAGAAGTAGCAGGTATAGCAGCCAGAACACATCGTCTACCTGGGCTAGCGGACCGCCTGGCAGGTGTGTTTGTTTGTTTGTTTGTTTGTTTTATACAACCAGTAAACAACCTTTAGACATAACACATCAGCTTTGTGTCAGGCTGTAAGGTTTGTACCACTCACACTGGGAAGGACCCCTACTATTTTCTGTGTGTCTGTTAATGTGTCTACTTGTGTTTCCACAACATACTAGGCATGTTTGGGACTCTGACAGGAAGTGATATTAGGTCAAAGGTCCCAGAAAAGGTTATCTCATTTCCTGTCTTTAATTCCTGTTGCATTATGGGAACCAGTGGGGAAAATGCTGAACAGAACCAGCAAGAAATTTTTAAGATAGATAAAATTATGAATAAAATGAGAAATTCACAAAACCTTTGCAATTTTTTTTTTTCAATTTTCTTATTTCCAGTGTGGATGACGACCGCCCTGCCTCTCCTAACAGTGTCAGGCAGCAGAAACTGGATAGACAGGTAAGCTTAAAATACTGTAATTCTTTATACTGGTGGTAGCAACTTTATACTTTTCGTGGTAGCAAAATTTCGCGGTCTGAGAAAAGTGGACACATTCGAGGAACTGTATTTTCGTGGTGGCAACAGGTGCAGAAGAAAGAAAGTCAGCGAATCATTTGTTCGTGGTAGGAAATTTTGGGTTAAAAAACTACCTCCGCGTAGGCAAGAAGAAGGTTAAAGAATTGGTACAATTGTAAACTGCAGATGTGACAGGAAATAAAGTCCAGTCAACTTCAGAGGTGGTAGAATATTTATCAACTTAGGCTGTAGACAGACATTTCAGGTCATGGGTCAATGGACGAGGCTACTTATTTACGGGGAGGTACTTTTAGTCTCAACATAGTTTTCCAGTTATGCTTTTTATGCACAAAAACTTCAACTGAAATATAAACTCAGGTAAATTTTTTATCTTCTCCATTAATCTTGAACCGGATAAAATCAAATTTACAGACTCTGAGGTATGAGCTCCTTGAACTCTTGTTTGCAAACCTTAGACTAATTCTTGCGCGGCAGGCTCTCCTATACTTTTGACAAGTACAGATGTCTAAAACTTGACTTTTCTATACCCGACTCTTTACTTCTAGAAGCTTAGATTTGAGGATTTGGACTTGAGTAAAAAAAAAACCTCTCCAGGCTCAAATGTTATCCTTAGGTTCACATACAATAGTAAGGCCTAACAAAATAAATGTTGTGTTTCCTATTACAGTCCAGAAAAAATTAGGGTCGGTAGGTAGGGATTCACTTTTTTTTTTTTTTTTTTTNTTTTTTTAGTACGAA